ATCATTAGCTCTGAAGTTGTAAAATTAGGTCCAAGCCTTTTCTCTTTTCTTTGAATAGCTGCTTGCTCCTTCATGACTGAAGCTAGTCAGGCTCCGCCTGACTAGACTGAAGCTAGTGGCAACAATGCCATTAAGCTTACTAACCAATTCTTTGGTGAACTGAATCACTGGCTCTTCCTTTAAGTTTTCCAGCAGGACTTCAGCATTTTTTGTGACTGTTTAGCTACTTCAGACTCTATTGGATCCTTTAGAATTGCTTCCAAAGAGGTCTTTAGTTGTTCTTCGTAGTCGCTAGACTGGGTGCAAGATGCCATAAGTTTTTAGTATACGGTCAAAGGAAAGAATCCTACAAATTTCAAACAACACCTGAAGTGTCATAAAGATGAGTATTAAGTGGAGCAACACTAGAAACTGAGATTTTAAAGACTAACAAGCAATTTCTATAGCGATTTAACTAAAATAACTAACTAAATTTGTTAAAACTAATACTAACTATGAGCATGCAAAGATTTAGTTAACTAACTACAAACTAACTAAATTTTTTTTCATTGAAAAAAACTAACTAGAACTAACTAAAACTCTTGATAAAAGGGCAAAACTAAACTATAAACTAACTAATTTAATAAAAAAGAGGAAAAACTAATAGTTACTAAACTAAAACTAAATTTTGTAACTAAAACAACACTACCAGGGACCTTATGCACAAAACTTCAGGAAGCTCAAACCTGGTTTACACTCGCCATAAAATGCAAGATAAATAAATAAATGCAAGATTAAATTTTTGCCAATTTTACATCAACTTAAAGTGTTTTTGCATCAACGCCTATGCAATTTTGATTGTTTCATTGTTAAATGTAAACTTAGCTTTAAGGAAGTATCTACAAGGCATCTATGTTATTTTAAGGCTAGATTTGTGTGTTTATAGTTCAATTTTATTGCTAACCCGGCATTTATTTGCACCCATTTGCATTATTATTAAACAAGAGGATGGACAACAGGACGCAGTACTTGGCAAAAATACACCATGTCAGTGCCATGCCAACAAAATACAAACAATTAGTAACAGTGGTTATTTTTATTTATTTTTATATTATGATGATTAAATTTCCATTTCTATAGTTTATTATTATTATTATTATCAAGAGTAAATACTACCTAAAGAGAGTATCCAACGGCCCCATCCTGGCTGCTGCAAGTGTGTGGATTTCTAGGAAGTCATGTTCAGTATACTTCTGTATAATATTATCAATCTGTATAAACATTGATTGAAAACTACTGAAGTATGTGGAACGTGACTTCCTAGAAATCCACACACTTGCAGCAGGCCTCAATAGGGCCGTTGGATACTCTCTTTAGGTACTATTTACTCTTGATAGTATGTACACAACCAAGAATTTTAATCTGAATCATAAATGATTTTCAGTCATGACTCAGCCTGACACATCCTGTATCAGGGGTTATGAGTAGCTTGCACGGCAATCAGCCTAGCATATATGATATGATTGTGATAATCAGCCACAATGCAACCATAGCATATGGTACTAGTTCAGCCAGAGCAACAGGCAATGATGCCTGCCTGGGCTGTATTAAAATAGGTTATTTTCGTGGTTCTTTAGTTTCTTGGCACTTTATTTTTGTGGTTGTGGGGCTTACCAAGAAATTTAACTATCCCCTTATAAACTGTCAATCACGGCAAACCACTAAATATTCGAATCATGAAAATAACCCGCTATATGGTAGCAATCAGACTTGCCTGTATCAGTGATGATAATTCTTAACAGTGTACTACTATAACCACTTGGATAAGCCTGTGGTTAATAGTACAGTTGTAATTTGTTTGTGAAGTGAGCTGTAAAGGTTGGGACACTGAGCATTTAGCAATTAATATTATTAACAAGCCCCCCCCCCCCATGTTGTGGAATAGATGTACAGAGATGAATGGGCAAAAGGCACTCTTTCTTTATTTTCTCCAAAAAAACTATGCAAAATTGCAGTATGGTAAGTAGAATTATACATCAAATGTCCAGTGAACATTTGTGTGTAAATCAGTACTTGCATTTAAAAGTGAAATTAGAAAAGCCACTTTTTCTGATTCAGATATGTACATCTATCCTACAACATGGTAGCTCAGATATTCAAATGTTCAGTGGTGGAAAGGTTAATGATAATGGGAAGATGGGACTTTACTTGTACTACTGCACATGCTTAATAGAATGATGCATGCATACTGGTAATTATTGGGCGAGCTAAACAGAACGTAAACTCAAGCCCTGCTAATAAGTATTGTAATAAGTCAGAAATTAGATTACTAGACAAATTAATGGGTGCACAGGAGAGAGATACAATTGGAAAGGAGTGACCAGAGTGGTGCATCTTTCTGCAGCCAAGGATATTGCATTCACCTTGTTTGAATTTGCTTTTGTAGGCATGTCTACAATGAAGCATATCTTGACGAGTGAAGGAACTTCATCAGACATTCATCTGCTTGTGGTGGGAAAAACCGGCCAGGGGAAGTCAACTTTTATTAACAGTTTGATAGACTTACAAAAAGAGATTGCAAAAGAGGGAGCGGAGACAGACAGGTGTACCGAATCATGTCACTCTTACGTTCATTCTGAGCTGATACCAGGTGTCAAAGTGAGGGTTATAGACTCACCTGGTTTACAGGACATACATAATGATGAGCAGCTGTACATTAAAAAAATAAAGGCTCACTGTCATGAGGTTAACCTTGTGCTCTACTGCATGAGGATGATTGATCATAAGATTTCAAATGATGACAAGTGTGCTGTACGTAAACTGCATCAGGCATTTGGTCCCAGTTTTTTTAAGAGAGTTCTAATTGTGCTCACTTTTGCAAACAAAGAAAAATGTGATAAGAAGGATAGCCGAGATGATGACGATCCTGAGCCTCCATTTGAAGACACAGAAGCATGGGTGGAATTAATAAAAAAGAGGTTTGTTAAAAGATTGCAACGACGTGCAGTTCGTATCAATGATTTTTTAAAAAAGCATTTTGGTATTGATGATTTGGTGGTTCAGGTTGTACCAGCTGGCTATTATAAGCCAACGTTTTCTGATCATTACCCAATGAAGCTACCTGATCGAGAGAACTGGTTACACGACTTGATAAAATTCGCTCATTCACAAATCAAGGAAAAACATAATTTTAGCTTGTGGAACTTAAATGATAGTAAGAAATTAATATTTATTATTGCAGAATTTTATATTATGATCTACTAATTAATTATATTAAAATTTATTTGTCTATCATGCATACATTATTCATTTTATCATTATGTTTTTATTTTGTTATTTCTGTAGAGATTCATTTGGCTATCAT